CAGCATGCTCTAGTCACCAGAGTAAGAGAGAGGGGGCGGGTCTTGCAGAGCTATTTTTCTGCTATTTATCTCTTTGCCCTCCAATCAAACTGTGATCTTATTAATCCCACATGCTCCTATTAGCCAGGTTGGCACAATAAGCCTAACTATCACCGGGTTCTTCAGAACAACCAACGCATTCTTGAAAAAGAGAAAAATGGGAGTAACTACATGATTTTATTTCAAGGTTTACTACAAACATACAGTTTCTAATTCAGTGTGGTATTGCATGAAGATAGATTGATGGAAGTCTACAAACAGACTTAAAATGATACAGCCAATAGACTTCCCATAAAGGCATCAAGGCAATTTATTATTTAAATTTTTTCACTGATTTCTTCTTTGACTTCAAAGTTTAAAATTATGTTGTTCAGTTTCCACATATTTGGGGATCTTCTTGCTATCGTCTTGTTATTGATTTCTAGTTTAGTTCTATTCGGGCTAGTGAACTCTGATATCAATCTTCTTTAAATAAAATGTTTCATTGAACTTTATTTTTTTCAACAGTTTTATTTATTGGCATATGATTTACATATCCTACAATTCAATAATTCAAACACATCAAGAAGAGATACAATCCCCAATCCCAGCAAATGCACTAGAGAGGACAGCACTGAAGATACGGCCTGGGGAGGGTTCAGTGTTTTCCCAGACCACATTGGAGCAAACTAACAGGGGCAGAGAGAGAGAGAAAGAGAACGAGAACCGTATCCGGCCCACCAAGCCTCAAGGATGACATTCCTGCTTGGAGCAGCCAGTGCACAGATGGGACCATAGGGCTGGCCCCACCATGAGATATGAGGTCCCCTCGCTGACCCACAGCGCTATGGGGGACAGCGCTGGAGACAGAGTGGGAATTGTGCCCAGTCTGACAACCCCCCCACCCCCCCACGCCAGGGCAAAACACGAAGGGGACAGCAACAGAGCAGCAAGGGCAGCAAAGCAATGAAGTCCCTGAGGAATCCTGAAAATAGACTTCTGACTTGGGGAGGGGGGCAGGGCTTGGTACCTCATCAGACCCATTGGGAAAACATTCCTAAGGGTCACCTGGAACTATTTATAGGCTTTAAAAAAATGTCTATATTAAATAGGCAGGATTGTTTACAATCCCGAGGAGAAAACAATGGGGCCAACGATTCTGGGAGTATAGGGGAGAGGAGGAGGTGGGGGAAAGAGAGGGGGAGCCAAAAGACTCAGGGACAAGGGAACAACAAGAGATCTAAAATCGATGGTGAGGAGGGGTTTGATCAAGTGTACTGTAGCTGAGAGGAATTATTGAAAGCTGAATGAAGGTCGAACGTGATAGTGGGAAACAAGAAAAATTTAAATAAACCATAAGATTAAATGATAGGGTGCTAAATTTTAATCTACCTGCATCTACAACAATCCAGTCTTTGATGCACTCTGCATGATAGCAAAGCTAGTCACATCCCTGGTCCATGGTCTAAGAGGCTTCACCAGGGGCTTAATCCATATGTATTTCCCGTTCACCTTTTTTTTTTAATCATTTTTTTTAGGGGCTCATACAACTCTTATCACAATCCATACATACATCAATTGTGTAAAGC